GGGAGTCTGCTTCTCCCTCTGACCCTCCCCCCCCTCATGTGCTCTCTCTCTCTCTCAAATAAATAAATAAAATCTTTAAAAAAAAAAAAAAGAAATTAAAACTGTCTCACTGGCAACTTCCAGGCCCAGTGGTTTCACAAGTGAAATTTTCTAAGCATATAAGGAAGAAATAATAACAATCTTCCCAAACTCTTCCAGAGAAGAGTAAAAGAGGCCCGCATAACCAAAATACCAGAATGTGATCAGGATTTCCAGTAGGAAAATTACAGGCCAGTTTCTCTCCAAGAATCTGCACACACACACACACACACACACACACACACACACAGCAAGCCAAGTGCAATGAAACATAAAAAGGATAGTACAAAGTTAGGCTTATCTTAGAAATGCAATGTTAGTTTAACATTTGAAAATAAATCGTTGTAATTCAACACATTAACAGAGTAAAGGAGAAAAGCCTTAAGTGTCTCAAAAGATGTTGATAAAACATTTTCTTAAAATCCAACACAATTCATAATTGAAAAAGTAAAATCAGCTAGGTTGCTAAGTACGAAGTCAAACAAAATTCCATTATATTTCTCACTACTAGCAAAAAAAACAACTAGAAAATGAAATTTAACAATTCTAATTAAAATGACAAAGAATATCATATTCCTTCATCAACCGGCTGACTCAGTATTATTAAGGAATCAATTATCTACAAACTGATCTCCAGTTTCAGTGCAATCCTAATCCAAATTCAAGCAGATACATGGGTGTGGATTTTTAAGAGTAATTCTGAAACTGAAACACTCATTGTAAAATTACATGAAAATATCAAGGGCCAAGAACAGAGGAGGAGAGGGAGGAAGCTGAAGGACATACACTACCAGATACTGAGACTTCTTAAATCTAGAGTATGTAAGACTGTGTGGTACTGGCACAAAGAGAGACACATAAACCCATGGAACAGAAGAGTCCAGAGGCATACTCAAACTTACACTGACAGATGAAGAAGAAAAACATCTTGGAAAAAAATTCCATGTAGAAATATTTCATTCAAAACACTAATATATATTTTCTGACTGATCATATCAATTACAACAGCAAGGAAATCATGTTTCAGTTAAATTCTCTCACAAACTGTATAAAATTACTTCCAAAACAATTAGCAGAACTTTTATAAAACCTTTATCTCTTACCTCTCCAAAAGCTCCTCGACCTATCACCTTCAATATCTCAAAGTCTTCTCTATGTAGGCGCATCTGTTTTACTTTAGAAGTAAATGGTTTGGCTGAAATAAAAGAACAACATCAATTAGTTTCTTAATGAAATGTGATGCAAATTAGATATATACATAATGGTTCTTAAACAACAGAAATTCAAATTATGATTAAGCATGAAGTCAAACTATTTCATAATCCCATCAAACTATATTAAGAAGAAATAGATTTAATTTCCACAAGAAAATAATTTCCTTTATTTCTCACATGTGAATTACGTTTTTGGTGAGAAACATATTTTTAAACACCTAATAACATATGAAATAAGGCAAAGTAACAGGAATGTACAAAGGAGGCCAATTCCTTTTCGTGTTGAACACTGTGTATATTCTAACACTCAATGCTAGACATATATTTTAACACAAATGTCTGAGAAGTAAAAGCAAATTTTATGGAAGAGGGAGTTTCAGCAATTCCCACCAAGTAAATTCAGATTTCTTTCACACTCATTCATTTATTTACCCTTTTAACACTCCTTTAGCAAGAGTCTACACTATATAAAGCACGGTGGCAATCACTGGAGTCTGAACAATTATGAGTAAAATACAATACCTTCCTTCAAAAAGTGCTCAGTCTTCAGGGCAGACAGACATAAACACACAAAATGTAACAATGGGATGAAATTCTAATAGAGGTAAATATAAAGTACTTCAAGATAGGTGAGAATGGAACACTAATACTTCACAAAGTAACACAGGAACTGGACCTTGAGGACTAAGTAGAATTTTGCTACTTTGCCTGGGTTTGCAGTGTAGACATTCCAGGCACAGGGAACAATATAAGCAAATGAAGAGAGGCAAGAAAATAACAGTTGAGGTGATAACAGTCAATATTCCACTGTTGTTATACAATTTTGAGAAGAAATACAAAGAAATTGGACCTAGAAAGTGAAAAATGTAAATGGCCTTGAATACCATACAAGGTATTAATAATAGGGGATAAATTGACATTTTTTAAATCATAAAATCAATGTATGTTCTGCTGCCTCTAAGAGAAATGTAGAATTATCTTCCTTTCCTCCCTTCATGTCCCTTTTCATTCTCATGCAAAAAGGAGTAATATGACTAAAGGGTCATTATATGTAGATACTGCTCTCTTCCCCTTCCTTCCATGGAGCAAGAGTAATATTTATTTGAGCATTAGGAGAATGAAATAGGTAAGCCAATCCTTACAACTTGATTTGTTCTGAAGGTATTTGGCCCAACTAGCTATGTAGAATTTAGCTAATTTAGAAAAGAAGGGTATTCCAAATTGCATATCTCAGTCTAGTAGAGATTTCTGTGATGGTGTTTTAGATAATAAGGAAAGGATACAAAGACTGGCTATTTGGAATTCACAAAAGGAGAATATGATCAAAGGAATATCATATTTGAATGAAGGTATGGAGGATCTCATCCTAGGAGAAAGACAACACAGAAAACAATGGCACCAAATGAAGTGAACACTTTGATAAGATGACTAAGGCACATTGGTTTTTGAACAACCCAGACTGGAAAGCTTGTTGAGACTATGGCCACTGTGTACCAGTCAGGGTTCCAAAAGGAAATACATCATCATAATTGGAGGAAAGTTTATAGACAAATAAACTATTTGCAAAGCTGTAGGTGGGATATAAGGGTACCACCAGGAAGAGTAAGTAATCGATCTAGCAGAATGAGTACTATCTATCTAGCAGTAATATGAGACTAGTGTCCCTCCCTTTCCCAGCTTCTGTATCAGCATTTCAGAAATACATGGCTAAGACGGGTTGGTATAGAATATATAAATTAAAAATAAAGATGTGGAGCCAGCCAGTACGAGTCTACTGCTGGTCTAGTTGCCAGCTATAGCTAAAAAACACCACACAGCAGCCTACAACATAACATTTAGCAGTTCTTTAAATACATTTTCTATTTCACTTTATATTCCTCCTACCTCAAGACTTTCAAATAACCTGAACCCAAATAAAGTATATGCTCTATATCTTTGTCTCATTACCGACCCTAAATCCAACAACAGCATTTCATCACAGACAACTACAGTTATCTGTAATCTACAATAATTCTGTGTATACCTTCTTTTGAGTAACATCCTACTTATCTAAAAGGTCAAAAATGTAGCTTTTTCAAACCTCAGAAACACTACTGCAAAACAGGAAAAGAAACTTTTTTAATTTAAATTCAATTAGCCAACATATTGTACATCATTAGTTTTTGATGTAGTGTTCAATGATTCAAAGAGACTTTTTTAAAACTAGAGTAAATGAAATACAATTCAGGGAAGCAAACGCTTGTTAAAATGATCTTTCAGAAAAGGTACAATGGATGATAGTATGCAAAAAACATCATTTTTCCACACAGTAGCATATACCCTGAAAGCACCACAAATGAGTACTATAAAATCATATGTAATTAGGGCTAAAGATTTTGTGAGTTTTCCAAGTTTCATAAAACTTCACCATTAACAGAAATTTAAAAAATAATCCTATCTATTCTTTACTTCCTGGAACCTGCTGGTAAAAATCCCATTTCTTTGACATTGCAAAACTATTCTATTTTAGGCATTCAAAAATGAGTTAAATCACAAATTTCTTCAGGAGGCTCATAATTTTACTAATCATGTACTGAATTCACTCAAAAAGTATCTTCTAATACCTGCTGTATGCCAGCCATTTTATAAGATGTTAGAGAGAAAAAGATAAATAGTCCCTGTACTCAAGCAAACAAATTATGCAATAAGTGTTCCTCTTCCATTTAAAATGTTCAGTGTGAATACAAATGGCTAATAAACAGAAAATGGCACTCAAAGAAATCAGAGAAATGCAAATAAACATACTAGAAATATTCTATTACTTACTAATCAAATAGGCCAAAAAAAAAAAAAGTGAAACCACCAGTGTTTGTAGGTGTGTGAAGTATAAATAACAGATATTTTCATACACAGCTGATATTACTATTAATTACAAACTCTGTGAAGAGAATTTGGTTTTCTATTTCATTCTTTTAATTTGGTATATTAAAAAGAATTTAAAAGTTGAATCATCTTTATATACCTTGGTATAAACCATACTTGGTTGTAATGTTTTTAATATACAGATGACATTGCTTTGCTTTGATTTTATTTTAAAATTTAACATCTGAATTCATAAACAACACTGTCTACAATTATCTTTTTTCTATACTGTCTTCATCTGGTTTGGGACCAATGATAAATCAACCTCATTAAGTATGTTTAGTAGCTTTCTCTCTTTTCATTCTCTAAACAAAATCCAGGTTGTTTAAAGATCTCAAGGTGATAAACAAAACTACAAAACTTTTAGAAGATGAAAGCAGAGACTCTGACTATAAGGTCCGATAAAACATGCTAATGAAGATATCTTTTCAGTGGACTTTTAATAATTGACTTCTTTCATATAACTGTCATTTTCATATTTTATATTTCTTTCTGTGATAACTTTGTTAATTCTATTTTTTTATAAATTTATATGTTGCATTAAAGTGAAATATTCTTTTGTTTTAAAACTCTACAATATAGATAGGTTTGATCCCTTTTAGATGCTAATACTGTATATTTGGGTCTTTTTTCATTGTTTTTCCTTACCAATATGGCTGGAAGTTTGCATATTTTACAATCAGTCTTCTAAATACATAGTATTTAGATTTGCTTGTCCTCCATAAAATTCTGTGAGATTTTCTGGTTTTAGTAGGTTGTTCCCCAAATTCATGTAAAATTTCAGAAAAAGTAGAGGCTAATATTAACCCTTCCCTTCCCACCAAATAACTAAGTTAGACGTATTAATAACAGGCAAAAGAGATATTAGGGAGAAAGGCATTAGTAGAATAAAGATTAAAAGGAATCATACATAGAGCTTAAAAAAAAAAGTCAAACTAACCAGGACGTAACAATGATTCTAAACTTGTATACACCCAATAACATAACCTCAAAATATGTAAAGTCAAACTGACAGACATAAAAGAAACAAACTTACCTTCACAGATTCTACTATTAACTCTCTCAGTAATTGATAGCTCAAGCAGGGAAAAAAAAAAAGCACCATGCATGTAATGCTCCACTTAGGAGTTGGAGAATATCATTATAAAACACACACAGAACTTCTACAAATTTTGACAACATGCCAAGACATAAAACTATCTCCAACAAATTTCAAAGTACTGGGAACATAAAAACCAAATTATATGAGTAGAATGCAATTAGAAATCAATAAAAGAAAAGTTACCAAGAAAAACCATAAGCTCTGATATCCAAAATTATTTTAAAGAAGAAATTAATAAATAGAAAATATTCAGAACTAATAGTAACAAAATACTATACATCCAAAGTTCTAGAATACAGCCTAAACCAGTATATACTGAGGAGGGGAAAAAAAAGCTCTCAATACTTACACTGGTAAAGGACATCTTAAAAATTAAGGTGTTAAACAGACAATGAAGTATTAGACCAAAGAATAAACTTAAAGTAGAAGAAAACAAAAAGAAAGCAAAATAAATAAAATTAATTAATTTGAAAATAAGCATATAATAGAAAGGCTCAACAAGGCCAAAGGATGGTTCGTTGAAAAAACTAATAAAAAACAATAGAGTGCCTGGGTGGCTCAGTCGGTTGAACATCTGTTCAGGTCATGATCCTGGGGTCCTGGGATCGAGTGCCGCATCAGGCTCCTTGCTCGGCAGGGAGGCTGCTTCTCCCTCTCCCTCTGCTTCTCCCCTGGCCTGTGCTCTCTCTCGCCCATGCTCTCTCTCGCCCATGCTCTCTCTCGCCCATGCTCTCTCTCTCAAATAGTTAAAAAAAGAAAAGAAAAGAAAAGAAAAATCTATAGTGGGAATGAGAAATTGGACAAAACTTCAGATGCTGCTGAGATTGAATGGATTTAGGTAAGAGAATATCATTAAAAGCCTATGCCAATAGGGACACCTGGGTGGCTCAGTCGTTAAGCATCTGCTTTCAGCTCAGGTCATGATCCCAGGGTCCTGGGATCGAGCTCCGCATCAGGCTCCCTGCTCAGCAGG